TTGGTTTTTATTAGCTAGTCACATTACCTGAATTAATTTACCTAAAGGTCAACTGGACAAATTCTTTCCAGGTGTAATGGGACTTGGAGGGAAAGTAGGGAGAGAGGAGAAAGCTCTTTTGTTTTCCTATTCTGACCTGCTAAAACCTTATTCCTCCTGATTGCTGAAGAAGTTTGCCTGCTGTATTCCTTATATTCTATAAAAGACCTTATGGCTCTTGTTTATCTGAGAGTTATATGCATTGTCTTCTTTTTCAAGTATTTTATGGTGTGGAGATTTTTGGAATTAGAAGAATTAGCCTAGGGAGAAGGAATCAAACAAAGGATCACATTGCACTTGTTTCATGTCTGCGCATTGAGTTGGAGCCACATTTTTGGTGTGCAGGAATCCTGGCAGTTGCTGGGACTTCAGTCTTCCTTCTCAGTCTCCTGGGGTGTTATGTTTGGATGCAGCCCAGACTGGACATCGCCAGAGCCAAAATGAGAAAAAGGAGTGATGCTCATACCTCTCTCAATTCCCCTACGGAGCACCAACCAGCTACAAGTCCCTGCAGCTATTCTGCAAGATTTGGGTCATGTAGTTAGTCTTTGTTCAAGGAGCAAAGGAAAATTGCTTGAGTGGTGAACTAAATTTGAAATTATAGAGTTCTCCATGATGTTCAGGTTTATTTTAAAGAGTATTAAAATCAAGACACACTGTTCTATTTTTCCATTTCTTCATTCCCATATCAAGGCCAGAATATTAATGAGGGCTAGAGTGGGAAAAATTCTGAACTCCACAAGATAACTTGTGTTACCTTTTCACCTCCTTGGGTAGTTAGAAAGAATTATTTCTCTTTAGTCTGTGCTCTTGCTGTAGAGCAGTTTTCTTCTCTCAGAAAACATTGTCCTTGTCCTATTCCTTTTCCTGTCCTTACTTTTTTTCCTTTTTTTTTTTTTTTTTTTTTCATACTAACCATGTTGAGCAATACCAGGGGATTTTTTTTTGGTAGCTCCTGCCTAAATGTTTTAAAATCAAACAGAAGTAATCACAGCCTTTCTCTTCACTTGAAACCATAACATTTTTTGACAAGAAGTGCCTTTAAAGAAATGCCTCTTAATTTACGTCGGGTTGCTTTGTACTTTGTTTCTGTAACCTATCTCATTACATTTCCTGTGTGTTAAGTATGTATGTATTATGGGCTCTTAAAAACAAATATCCCAGAAGAAAGGAATTCAGTAAATGAATTAAACATTCTTGGGTAGCCCAAGTGGCAGTTTAATAGCTCATCTGTCGGGACTTTCATAAAATATAATGATGATAGCCATATAAATATATGGATAGATGAATAAGTTCAATGAGGAGATTGCTACAACTCTGCATACCACATCTGAAATGAAATCAAACTCTTAAAGTGCTGCCTGATGTGAAGGTCCAGTTTTTGTGGTGCCAACTATGAAATTCTACCTAAAAATACAAAACTGTGTGTCTGTGTATGCATATGTATACAAACCTAAAACATGCATACAAAAGCACACATATACAAATGTTGTTTCTAGGTGGAATTTAGTGTTTCAGGACTGATCTTGATTGCACTGAACCTCTAATACTTTGTAGCCCATTGACATGACTGGATTTGCAGCAGTATGTTTGAGATTATGTCTAAGTCCCGGCTTTCTCTAAAAATAAAAGGATAAATGGAATAGGAGTGTAAGGTTATCATGTTATTTTGCCTGGGATATACACAACTTTTTCATTAAGTTCACCTAATCACAGACCTTTGTAAATATCTACTTTCATACCTATCTACCACGGAAATCTGTAACCTTAGGTATGGCAAACCTGAAAGTAAAGTTTTAAGTAATTTTTTTGTAGTGATGAATTTCACAGGAAAACTGATTTCCAGTTATGGTGGACTTGGAAACTCTATGCTGATGACCATGCAAGATGGAGGGAAATCAGCTCAGGTTGAACTGTGGCATGGACAGGAGGAACTAGACCACCAAATAAGATATAAATAGGATAAGACAATTAAGTTCCTTACTCCAAAGAATAAGAAAATGAATTCATGTGAAGTTGCTGAACTGTCATGACAAAAGTCTAAGTGCTCATAAGAAACATAACATCAGTCTCTATTGTAAGCCAGCAAAAATTCACTTGCTCTTAGCAGTGGGAAGAGGCTGGTATTGTAGTATAGATGAAGGATGCTGAAGTGCTCTTGGTGAAAGGCAGCAGTACAGTGATTTATCTGTTGAGTGTTTTGATAATGGCACATCAGAGAAGACATCCAGCCCTTTATATTTTCATGAGTTGTGTCTCTCTCATTAGAATCTCTCATTCCCCTTGGCTGGCTTTTCTTTGGCAGCATACTGTATATTGTACATATATATATATGTATAAAATTCAGCCAGCATCACCTTCCACACTAGTCTGAAGCAACAACTTTTAGTGTAAGTACTCAAAGTGATCACATAAAGCCCCATAAAAGTAATAGACTTTGATATTTTCACACTGGTGGCTTAAATCGATGAATGTTTGTTGTGCTGAAAAATAAGATGCCCCTGCTGATCTTCTAGCTGAATGAAATGATAACAACAATAAAATATTTTTTCCTAACTGAAGTAGAAAAATTCCATCCTGGGTCTCCTGGGGGTCAACCTGAGCACAGGGAGAGCATGGGGAGACCTGGTCCCTCATGTACCCAAATCATGATGGAGAATTGTGCCTTTTTGATGTATAAACTATATGGGACGCGATGTTAATCACAGTACTCACATGATATGTACACAATAATTGAGTGGGCGTATTCAGGAAAAGAACTGCCACAGGGAGTTAGTTCTGTGGGGATTTGCCTGCTACTGGGGAATGCAAGTTCCTTAGGTGATACTCTTCTTAAAGAGTTTTTGTTTGTTTGTTTGGTGGTTTTTGTTTGTTTGTTTAAATAGAAAAGAAAATGAAAAGGAAACAAAGCAGAGAGAGAATGTGTAAATTCATGTGAAAATAAGTGTATTGAAATATGAGTGCATTGACAAACACTTGGGAGAATTGATCAAACTGATCGATTTGTTAAGCAGTGGGATATAGACTGTGGGATCAGGAAGGTAAGTGTTGTGTGTGGACATTACAACATCGGTGCAATAAATTGATCGTCATTAGTACTAAAACTGCAATAATCATTCCATTATATTGGAGGTGACAACTGACATGAATTCATATTCCGGAACTTGCATGCAATTTGTAAGTCTCCTTGGGGAAGTTGAAATCATGTTGGAGGTTTAAATTAACCTCTGTCATTATCAGCAACTTCTTCTATCCTCTTTCACTCTGTATTCTAGCTTGGAGAAAACTACGTTTTCAAGCAGCTTTTAAATGACAATGAGAACAACGTGTGTGTGCAGTGGGTCTTTCAATAACTGCCTTTTAAAATTGATTTTTATGATTTTCACAAGTAACAGTGTATGTACTCTGTAACAAAGAAACTTATTCACACTACCTCACTGTGAGCACCTGCCTAGTTTCCTCAGGCTCCTCTCCTCTCCTTTCAGTGGGAAGTGATAAGCAGGACCTGGCTCCCAGCTTCTGCAGCAGCCTCCAGCAACCTTCAACCTGAATCTGCACTTACGTTGTTTCCATTTAACCTGGCAATTTAAATCCTTGAAGCAAGGCACTGGGGCTGTTCCACAACAGCACTGTATGGAGGAACTCTAGGTCTTCCCCAAATGCTGCTTATTAATTGCATTTGAATGTTTACATTTATAATGACCCTTTTGAAATCAGTAGAAAGGCACTCAGTGCTTTGAAATGGCTTGAGTGGGGCAGACTGCGTTAAGACAAAGCAGTGGTGATGGAGATGTGTGTTTTCTTTGTAGCCAAATTCTGCTTTGGGTTACTTCAGTGAGACGTGGTGTAAGCTGGAATTCAATCCATTTGGTCAAGGATCATTTACACCTTTGCTGGTTGAGGTGGCCCACTGGCAGCAGGACAGACAGTAGGTTGGAAAGGGCCTTCAGCTTTCTCGATTGGGATGGTAGTGGTATCCAGCATTTATTGGACTTACAGAAAAGAAATGCTCCTCTGTACCCTCGTTTAGGGTTTGTTAGCCAGTGCATTCGGTGACCATAATCACAGGTGCATTGGGCTACATATGCAAGAGTAGTGTTACGTATGGGCTATCTCAGCTGTGCTGTTTTCTTAACCTCAGTCTTCACATGGGAGTTATTGAGCAGTTTTATTTTCTTCATGGTATTTTGCCTGTTTTCAATATCTGGATATGTGTGTGCATATGTATATGTGTATGCAATTGCACTTAATTAGCTATAACTCTTTCTTAATATTGATTTTTCTGAAAGTATCTGTATTTAAAGTAATGATTGTGTAGTGACTTTTTTATTCTACTTGTTCTCAGTGTCGCAAATTTTGTCAAACATTCTTAGCTGCCCATAGAAAAAAAAAGGGCTAACATTTGACAGGCGACATACATATGAAAATCCTGTCTCCTTTCCAAACATTAGGATGAAAATGAGTTTTCCAATATGCTCTGAAAACAAAACTAATAAATTTAGGCTTAATTGAAGCTTCTGATAAATAAAACCAGTAATTTCTGTATGTGGTTCATCCTTTTCTATAAACTTACTCAAATGTGTGTGTCCAATTTTAATTTTTTTTCACTGTGATTATTCTGAATTGTGTGCATATGGGTACAATTAAGATAGGGTCTTACAGAGGTTTTTTTATGTTGAAGAAGTGCACATACATACATATATATAGTTAAATATATGTGCATGTATGTGCACATGCATACATACTGTGCACACACGTGTAAAAGTAGCCAAAACTGGTGTGGTTGTATATGTGTGTATAGTGTTCTCCCTTTCTGTTATGTTTTCCATAAATGTATGTTGAATAAATATTACATATTTTTTAATTTAATTACAAATTTAAAAAGTAATTTTGACATGTCACTTTACAGTACAGGTTTTATCTCTTGATCAACTAGTTCCTGTTTTCTCTCTCTGCCACAGGGTGAAAGAATGATGTGATGGAGGTGAATATGGGCCGCTGGTCAGGCTCACGGCTACCTCCGTCATGCCTTGCCCTTCTGATTGTCAAGTTCCTGGCCTCCATTTGCCAGATAGTTCACGGGACTGCCCCGCTTGGCTTTCACTTCACACATTCCACTTACAATGCTACAGTGTATGAGAATTCTGCAGCCAGGACCTATGTCAACAGTCAGACGAGGATGGGCATTACCTTGGCTGACCTTTCATGGGATATCAAGTACAGGATAGTGTCTGGTGATGATGAGGGTTTTTTTAAAGCAGAGGAAGTCGTCATTGCTGACTTTTGCTTCCTCAGAATAAGGACTAAAGGTGGGAATTCTGCTATATTGAACAGAGAAATCCAGGACAACTATTTATTGATGGTAAAAGGGTCTGTCAGAGGAGAGGACTTGGAAGCATGGACAAAAGTGAACATCCAGGTTTTGGATATGAATGACCTGCGACCTTTGTTTTCACCAACTACTTACTCCGTCACGATAGCAGAAAGCACTCCTTTAAGGACTAGCATTGCACAGGTGACCGCAACAGATGCGGATATTGGGTCCAATGGTGAATTTTATTATTACTTCAAAAATAAAGTTGATCTCTTCTCAGTTCATCCTACAAGTGGTGTTATCTCTTTAAGTGGCCGGTTAAACTACGATGAGAAAAACAGGTACGATCTTGAGATTTTGGCAGTGGACCGTGGGATGAAGCTTTATGGAAACAATGGTGTAAGCAGCACTGCCAAGCTTTATGTTCACATTGAACGCATCAATGAACATGCCCCAACAATAAATGTAGTAACCCATATTCCCTTCCCATCAGACAAGGAACCTACCTATGCAGTTGTTAACATTGATGACCTAGATGAAGGAGCCAATGGAGAAATAGAATCTGTTTCTATTGTGGCTGGAGATCCACTAGAACAGTTCTTTCTGACTAAAGAAGGTAAATGGATGAATGAGTACAAAATCAAAGAAAGAAAGCCTATTGATTGGGACAGCTTCCCATACGGTTACAACCTGACTCTCCAAGCAAAGGACAAAGGATCTCCTCAAAAATTTTCAGCGGTCAAACTGGTCCACATTGCTAGTCCCAAGAAAGAAAGTATCCCCATGAAGTTTGAAAAGGAAGCATATGATGTTCTGATCAGTGAATTTTCACCTCCTGGAGTGGTGGTTGCAGTAGTTAAGCTGGTGCCTGAGCCACAGAGTGTGGAATACAGAATATTTCCAAGTGAAGAAGCTGAGTATTTTAAGATCAATCCCAAGACAGGCCTTATTACTACTGCTCGCCCTTTGAAAATCATTGAGAAGGACCTCTATGAATTAGAAGTATATACAAACAAAGGTGGTGATTTAAAAGCACGGGTTACTGTCAGATTAGAAGATGCCAATGATCACACTCCAGAGTTCCAGCAGCTCTCGTACAGCTCATTCGTCAATGAAAGTGTCCCTGTGGGATCTACTGTTTTGGCAGTTTCAGCAGTTGATAAAGACAGGGGAGAAAATGGATACATAACATACAGTATTGCCAGTCTGAACTCACTACCTTTTACAATAAACCAGTTTACAGGTGTCATCAGCACATCTGAAGAACTGGATTTTGAGTCTTCACCAGAAAGCTACAGGTTCATTGTGAGAGCTTCCGACTGGGGTTCTCCCTACCGCCATGAAAGTGAGGTGAATGTCACCATATACATAGGCAATGTCAATGATAACAAACCCCTCTTTGAAAAAGTGGCCTGTCAGGGAGTGATTTCTTCTGATTTTCCTGTTGGTGGTCACATCACTGCTGTTTCTGCAATAGACATAGATGAGTTAGAGCTGGTGAAGTACAAAATAATCTCTGGAAATGAACTCGGCATTTTTTATTTAAATCCTGACTCTGGTGTCCTGCAACTTAAAAAATCTCTAATTAATTCTGGCATAAAGAACAGCAATTTTGGTCTTAAGATAACTGCAACCGATGGAGAGAACTTTGCTGATGCTATGTTTGTTAATATTTCAGTAGTTCATGGCAAAGTGTCTTCAAAGACCTTTAGCTGTAGAGAAACTAGAGTTGCTCAGAAGCTAGCAGAAAAATTACTCAAAAAGGCAAAAGCAAATGTGAAGCTGAATTTGGAGGATGGTTTTCTCGATTTTTATTCGGTAAACAGGCAGGCACCACATTTTGACAAATCCTTCCCTACTGATGTAAAGGTTTCAGAGGATCTGCCAGTTGGTGCCACCATCCTGAGGATAAAAGCCTACGATGCAGACTCAGGCTTCAATGGAAGAGTACTTTATACAATTTCTGATGGTAATGAGGATAGTTGTTTCAACATTGACATGGAGATGGGAATACTTAATGTTCTCATGCCCTTGGACCGTGAAAAAACAGAGCTCTATCATCTTAATATTACAATTTATGATTTAGGAAATCCACAAAAGTCTGCTTGGAGACTGTTGACTGTCACCGTGGAGGATGCAAATGATAACAAGCCTGTTTTTTTACAGGACAGTTACTCAGTTAATATTTTAGAAAGTACAAGTCTTGGTACAGAGATTATCCAGGTAGAAGCCAGGGATAAAGACCTAGGATCTAATGGTGAAGTAACTTACTCAGTACTGACAGACACCCAGCAGTTTGCTATCAACAGTTCCACAGGAATGGTGTATGTGGCAGATCAGCTAGACCGGGAAACAAAAGCAAACTACACACTGAAGATTGAGGCTAGGGACAAAGCAGAGAGCGGCCGTCAGCAGTTTTCCGTTGTACCTCTGAAGGTTTTTTTGGATGATGTTAACGATTGCTCTCCGGCCTTTATACCATCTAGCTACAACGTGAAGGTCCTTGAGGACCTGCCAGTTGGTACTGTCATAGCTTGGTTGGAAACTCACGATCCAGACCTGGGCTTGGGAGGCCAAGTCCGTTACTCGCTGGTGAACGATTACAATGGGAGGTTTGAGATAGACAAAGTGAGTGGCGCCATCCGCTTGAACAAAGAGCTCGATTATGAGAAGCAACAGTTCTACAACCTGACCGTCCGTGCAAAGGACAAGGGGCGCCCGGTTTCTCTCTCTTCTGTTTCTTTTGTGGAAGTTGAAGTGGTGGATGTTAACGAAAATCTTTATACCCCATATTTTCCTGAATTTGCTGTCGTCGGATCTGTAAAGGAAAACTCCCGCATTGGTACAAGTGTTTTGCAAGTTGTTGCTCGAGATGAGGACTCTGGAAGAGATGGAGAGATCCAGTATTCCATTAGGGATGGCAGTGGCCTGGGGAGATTCAGCATAGATGAAGAAACTGGTGAGTTTTGTTGGTAATTTTCTTTTTTTCTTCATAGAGAATTTTTGCAAAAGCAAAGCATAGGCGTAATTGTTCTCAACCCTTAAGAAGAAGTTCAGTTCTTCTTACAGGCAAGACTAAATTATAAATAAGCATTTTTCAGGTACAACAATGACATGATTTAATTACCTGGATAGATTTATCATTCCGTGGGTGTGAAATAATGCACATTTCTTTTCAGTAGCTGTGTGATGACTCCATTTAGGAAACAGTGATAGTTGCAGAATAAAACTCACTTTCAGTGAATGTATTATCTGTTGATCATTATAAATTGCACAGGTCACCTCCACAGAATCACAACAACTTGTGACCTTGAGTCCAGTGTTAAACCCAATGAAAGGAAATAAGGAACGTGAAACAAGAACTGTTTTGTCCTAAAACCTTTTTGTGGTCTTGTTTTTGTTGTTGGGAATAATTTTTTTGTAAGAGTTAATCTGAAATGATATGTCATTCTTCGTAGCATGGTGTTCATCAGCACTGGTGTGCTTCTGTAAAGATAGAAATCAAGGGAAAGATTCGTAGCTGTAAATGATCTGTGCTAGCTTTCCTTTGGTGTTGGTAGTATTAAGAACCCTATTGGAAAATGCTGAAAATACGAAGTATAAATGTATAAGGCATCTAGTAGAAAACCAAACTGGCTGTTTAAATGTCGAATGGTTGTTGGGAGTAATGGTGCAGCTGTGCACCACTAGAAGTAGTGAGGGAATTAGAAAATATTAGTCAACAGTTTCAAAAAATATATTAAATATGTTAGGTCTGTGGGCTTACTGTGGTTTAAGCAGACTTTGAATGTCTTTTTCTAAAGCTTTTAATTGAGAATGTGGTATTAAACATAAGATTAAAATGTATGTTTTGGCAAATTCAAACTGTTTAATCAAATGTCAACTTTCTAAACTGAACATTATGAAAAACAGACGACATTACAAATGCTGTGGCTCGCATCTAAGCATAAGCAGTGAAAAATATTTTTATTCTATTTGTGCTGTAGTCTCTCTGCTGCAGCTGTGCACAGATGAAGCAGTCAAAACCTTATGTCCAGAAACATCAAACTTGAGTGTCAGAAGCCAAGACAACACCTACCCCTAATTTCCAGAAATGTTAATAACTCCCATGTCCTACAGTGGTAATAGCAAGTGAAGGCATTCGGGCAACACTATTTAGGCAATTGAATATGGATTTCAGTTTTAAACTCCTGCATATGAAAATTTTACCCTACCTGCTAATTGAGTAACATCAACTTGATCTAAATGGGTTCTGTATCAAGCAATGGGAGATTGGTCCAAATGCTGCAGTATTGATTTGGAAATCTCAGGATTTAACATTTATTGAACTTATAGGAACTGGTAGGGGAGAGTAACAGTGCATGTCATTCATTAGTACAATAACCACGTTTTTTATCCTGTGCCCGGACTAGTAGAGGTGATAGCCAAGAGTAAGTTAGGGCCTTCATTCTGTAAAGCAGAAATCATGTTTTGAAGTGCATGGGAATTGTACTCAATATTCCACGTTAAACATACTTAGTTTTTTTCCCCAAAATTTAAATCTTTTTGTGAAGAGAAAAGAGTCGAAAACCTCCCAAGATGCAAGTATTTGTCTGCCTTTCACTCTTTCACAAGTGTTACAAGAAAATGAACCAACCTGTCTATTTCACTAAATTGTTCCAGAAGAGACTTGATAATCCAGCAGATCAAAAGGTTTTAGATTATTCTTCTGTTTTTTCCAAATTTTCAATACAATGGAAGCCTTAGTGAAAGCAACTCAAAGAACACTTTGGGTGCAGCTGCAGCCAGGGCAATGTGGAGAGGAGGACTTAGGGGCTCTGGAGTCACTCTTGCTATTGTAAGCTGAATGCAGAATTTGACCTTCTGAGTCAAGTAGAACGCAACATTAATACTCTGCTATTGAACTGGTGGCAACTTAAATGCTGCTGAATGATGAATCAGCTTTCTAGCTGTAGAAAAGGGCTCAAGTCACATATTGAATTAATTTATAAAGAGATAGCCGTTTATTTACTTTCAGCACAGTTCATTTGTCACTTTTAAACTGACCGACTCTATTGGCTTATGTACTGTCTCTCCTGAAATTTGTGAAGGTAAGCAGGAGCATGAAGTACAACAAATCAATATTTTTGGCTGCTACCTTAATGAAAAGACGACTGCTGCATCCATTATAATCATTAGTATATAAACTGGGCCAAATTCATCCTGATATGTGAGCAGGCTGGACTGCAAGGAAGTCTGTGCTTTCAGCAAAATTCTGCTCAAGCACTGAGTGAGATGTGCCTGTGCTCCCTGAGGCACATTGATACCAAAGAGGGGAAGTGACGCAGAGATACCTGAGGAGAAGCAGGCCTGTGTGGTGAATCCACACTGCACCATGCTGCCACACATTTGATTTCATGATAGCTGCTTCTTGTTCCACTTTAGAGGTATAGAGGGGCATATAGGTGCATCTGGAAAAGAGGAGGCTCAGGGGAGGTCTTCTCACTCCCTGCAGCTGCCTGAAAGGCGGTATCCAAGTACCAAGTGGGAGGACAAGAGGAAATGTCCAGGGGACGTTTAGATTGAGTATTAGGAAAAAATTATTTACAGAAAGAGTTGCAAGGCATTGGAACAGGCTGTCTGGGGATGTGGTGGAATCATAATCCCTGGAAGTGGTCAAAAAAAGTGTGGATGTTGCACTTGGGGACATGGCTTAGTGATGGACTTGGCAGTGCTGGGTTAAAGGTTGGACTTGATGATATCAGAGGTCTTTTCCAAATTAAATGATTCTGTGATTCTATGATCTAGCTCCACCAAGGTTGATCTGACCTTTGGTGGAGGTTATACAACAGGCTTTTCTCCATTCAGGTCGGAACAGTGGTTCGTGGTCAGCAAGCTTGGGAGTCTCCTCCATACTGATCAGTGTGGATCTCTCTGCATAGTGTACATGTGCAAGTCTGTGTGCTGTTGCAGTTTGATAAGAGATGTGCCATGGGAGTGAGCCTGGCATTCCCTTCCTACACTGCTGCTCGTTGCCTCCATGTCATATAGAATCGATTTGGAAGATTCAGCATTCACTGCTGAACACTCCAGTTCATATGTGTTAGTAACCAGAAGCATAACAAGTGTTTCCCATATAGAAGTGTGAACCATTTCCAAATTTATATCAGTGGATTTAATTTCCATTTGCAGGAGGCAGAGCCAGTGCAAGTTCATAAATAGATAAAAGCTCTCCTGAAGTAGATGGCTACACTGGTTTCCCTGGTTTCCCACTAGTACCTTAGCCAGAAGATTAAATTTTTCACAGGTTTAGAAGTCAGTTCATGATTCATAGCTGAAAATCTGGTTTAAGAGTTTTCTAGAGGCTAAAAGGGAAAAAAAACACAAACCACCACACCAAACAAACAACCAAACCAAAACCAAAGCAAACAAAACAAAAAAACCCACAAACAAACTCCCCCCCCCAGGAGCTTTTTTATTGAAAGAGCTCTTATTTGTTGATTCCTGCCTCAATAGATTTTGTCACCAGCCTAGGTCTACAGTTCAAAATCATTGATTTTCTATCTTCATTGGCCTGTTTATTGACTGTCGATGCAAATGTCACAAGCTTGCCATGTAAGAACCCAGCACCCAGGAACACGTAATGTGATCCTACCATTTATGGTTTCTCATTTTCTTGCTGTCTCCTTCAGAACTGCCTTCTTCTTTCCTTCCTTCTTTTTTTGTTTTGTTTTGTTTTGTGGTTTGTTGGGTTTTTTTTGCATCACTCTCATTCTTTTGGACTCCAGAAATGTAATCTGTTATGAAATGTGGTCATCTACAATGAGAAGTAGTCACTTCAGGCTTCTTCTAGTCAACAGAAAGAGATGGACAACTGAGAAACATGGTTCATTTTACCCTAATGTAAAAATATGAAATAAGTTGGATGAATCATACTCTAAAAATGTACAAAGGCCCTTGTGTGACTAGCTCAGGTAAAGGTCTCACTGAGTGCCTTGCTTTGGCCAGACATAACCCATCCCTTTTAATTGTAAACAAGAATATATACTGTGATGTTTACATGCTAATCTCTAAAAGATTCATGTTTTTAGTCCAATTTAAGGGAATTATCTTTCAATATGAAACTCATACATAAGTGCATTTCTAGACATAAAAGGTTGAAAAAAGTTTTTAATAGTATAGAGGATGAGACTTATATAAATAATACTTTATGATTTTTCATTTTCTGAGAACACAGTGTTAGACAGAGCATCTCACTCTCTTTTCTATCTATGGAAATTCATCAATATCTGCTGTTTTTATCTTACGTGGAGAGTTGTAACCTTCCCCTTGGGCAACTCTGGGGTTACAGAGAAGCTTAAACCTTTTCTTCATCTTTAGTACTGCTTCCCACCTGATGTTCACCTCCACTTTCTTCACCAGTCTGCTGACTGTAGTTCCTTAGAAGAAAATTGTGTAAAATACCCTCTATATCTCCAGATTGTTGTGACACAGAAGGAGCAGAGATCTTTTTAAAATTGTTATGAAATGACAGTGTTCTCGAGGTTCCATCATAGGGTTAGCTCTAATAGTTATGACTACTCTTCTGAAAATGGTCTGTGTCAAATGTCCTACACTGCTTTATTAAAAACCTGGGTTTTCTCAGCTCTGTTGTATACACCTTCACAGTGCTGATACCACAGCAAAGTGGTGGGCTTTTTGTTGTCTCGGGAGCTGGTGGTGAGTTCAACAAATATGGGTTTATAATACCACCTGCCTTAGTACCATCTGTCAGAACCGCTTTTCTGGCTGCAGTGGAGATTTGGACAGTTATTGAGACTTCCTGGCTTCTTGAAAGGATGAGCTAGATGAGATAGGTCCTAGCCTAAATGCTGGAATCTTCCTTCTCATTTTTTAATGATTTGTAGTTCAGCTAAACAGCATTTTTTACTCTAGCTCCATTTCTTAGTCTGGCATGTTGATGTAACATCCTGGCCCTCA